GGAAGTGTAAGTGGTGCTGAGGAACAGAGCCACAGATGAGAACCATGCCTTACAAGGCAATAAGCCTTGAAAACTATTGATGCCATGAAGCCAAATGAGTCATTGAGATTTATTAGACCTTGGAGTAATGGAGGTATTTGAGAAACAAGGAAAAGGCAAGAGGTCATATTTTAAAAATATACCATCAGAATTCTAGGATTGGTGTTGAACTAACTGCCATGAATTGCTGATAAATACCCGGCCTGTCTCTACTTTGTACATAATCTTGCCTTTAGGTATTTTAAAAATATACCATCAGAATTCTGAGGATTGGTGTTGAACTAACTGCTATGAATTGCTGATAAATACCCGCCCTGTCTCTACTTTGTACATAATCTTGCCTTTAGGATCCATCTCCCGGCATTCATATCCAACCATACTCTGTCAGCTGTGCTCATGTTCACCATGTTCTACCTGCTTTTCCCATACTCTGACATTTCAAATCAATTGGAAACTTGGGGAGTCAGTTCTTTAATTTAAGTCATTGCTGAATAACCTAGCAACAGGGATCAACACTCATGATATTTTGTTGTTGTTAATCCTCCCCAAGGATATTTATCCATTGGTTTTTAGGAAGAGTGGAAGAGAGAGAGAAAGACAGAGAGAAACACTGATGTGAGAAACATCAATTTGTTTCCTCCTTGCAGGAGCCCTGACCAGGGCCCACAAACACTGATGTGAGAAACATGAATTGGTTTCCTCCTTGCAGGAGCCCTGACCAGGGCCCAGGCCAGGGTGGAGTCTGCAACCAAGGTATATGCCCTTGACCAGAATTGCACCTAGGACCCTTTGGTCCTCAGGCCAACGCTCTATCCACTGAGCCAAAGCAGCTAGGGCAAAATCATGATTATTTAATTCTGTGTGATGTGCCCCAGCTCACTTGGCCATGAATCACCCATAAATATTCTTTTCATGCTGATTTTTGCCTCCTCTGCTACCATCTTTCCAGGAAAGACTGTTGTAGGCCTTTACAGATAATCTATAAATATTCCTCCCGATGCGTATCCCACTCATGTATTTTCTGTTAAATATTGTGTTTGATCTTTAAGTTGCCACATTTTCTAAATTTATTCCTTTTGACTATAATAACTTATGTATGCCTGCTGACTTACTAATTATAAAATATGTATAAATCAAGATTGAATTTAGATTAGTTCTTTATTAGCCATAATCATGTTTAAGCAGTTGTTTATGTTTGTAAACAGGCACTTTAATTTATTGTTATTTTTTCATAGGCCTAACAAGGTTGGTACCATCACTCACGAAGCCCCACAACTCTGTATTTTTATTGACACTTAAAGCCTTCTGCAAATAGGGTGTCACTGAAGAATTTATTAGAAAGAGAAAGATATCCTTTGGGAATAACAGAGGACCTGCTCTGTGGACTCCTCCCTGGAATGTTCCTCTCTTTTTCTTTATCTTACTATGAAGCCTCTTTTGTGGAAAAACAAAACAAAACACAAAACACAAAAAACAGCATGGCTTTTGATGTCTGTTTTAATCCTAGCTAGGTGACTTTGTGCAAATTATTTATCTTTTTCTCTTTTTGCTCTATTATTTATAAAATGGGTGTAATAATAATAGTAATAATACCAACAACATAAAGCATTAAACTAATAAAATGAGATATATGCAAAATGCTCAGAATTGGATCTGGTGTAGATTAAAGTTATAATACCCAGAAACTTCCACTACATTTTACATATATTTGTAATACAAATGCTTTCCACCTGCAAAGTCTCTGTCTTCCCCTTTTAAACCTTCACCTTAATATCTGTAGGGCATGAAAATCAATGCAACTATTTTCCCCAAAGTTTGAATTCACTTACTTATAATTAAACTATAAAGCAGAATACCTCTGTGTGCGAATGTGCACTGTGCATGTGTGCGTATGGTGCATGAGTGAGTGGATGCATTGTAAAGGAAGAGGCACCAGTCAACCAGTCATGTTATCTCTCAATGTGAAGTAAAGGCATCCCTTTATTTTTTTCTATTGTCTCCAGTCTCCTTTTTTTTTTGTCTCCAAAGATAACATTTAGATAGAATACACACACACACACACACACACACACACACACACACACGTGTGAATCCTAAAGGTAAACAATAATTTTTAGCATAAGTACAGTATGATTGGAATTAATTGAGAGAGGGGGACTAGATTTTTCCCCAAAAGCATAATTATTTAAAAATAGTGTTCCTACCCAGTGGAGATAACTTTAATATTATTTTGCAAGCAATTTTAAATATACTCTTTTTTTCTTTCTGATCTTTTTTTTCTATACTCCTTACAGGGCCTTAACTACATTTCAGGAGGAACCGATTATAGCAGCCTTCTCTGTCAAACACTAGTAGCATCTGTCCTTTGACAATATAAGCATTTGCTGTCAAGAAAAAAAGGTGGCTCATTCAAATGGGGCAACTGGAGAAAATTAACTGGATTATTTACAAAGCAGTGGACAGGATGAACGTAAACTGTAGTACTTGCCCTAGTGACAGCCCCGATCCTGAAACCTGATAGAGGTAGGAGCTGTTAGTAGAACTCAGAGGAAGTGGCTGAAGGAGGTGCCACTCCACAGGAACTGGGGCTTTTTGCAGGATGAGGAGCCAACTTGTGGTGATCCAGAGGATGAAATCTGGTGGAATACATACTCTGATTTTTCTCTCACCTCTTGCCATCTTTTTCCCTTCCATTGTTTGCCCATCCCCGATTTGCCAAACCAACCTAGAAGCCAATGGATGAGTAAATTCCTTCTGTGGCCAGCCTCCTTGTTACAGAGCAGGTTAAAGAAGGGAAACCAAAAAAGGGAGCCGATGGCAAAGATTCCATGCAAGCCCTTAACTGAATAGTTCAAGAACTTGAAATGTACAAATGTGTCAGTCTCCCCTTTTTCCCTTAATCTCATTAAAATGATAGAAATGAATTTTAAAAGCCCTAATTCCTTGCCAACAAAAAAGAATAGGACCACCAGTGGATGAGAGGTATCAAGTAATTTATGGAAGACTTAGTGGCCAAAGGCTGAAGGGCAGAGAAGCTGGTGACATCACAGGAAGCCATGACCTAACTGAACAGGAGTGTGGGTGGCAGTAGAGAGGAAGCTGTCTACCCAGGAAGGCTGCTTAGACCATAGGTGGCTGGTCTGATGGAAGATAGCAGTGAGCAGTGGGACTGAAAAGAAATAGGTTCTATAAAGCCTTTAAATAACCAGTAAACATGTAGAAATAACGATATAATTATAAAAAAATATTGAACGATGGTGCAAAGTAAATTCTCATCAAGTATAGCAGAAAGTCAATAGATGATGTCTAAAGTTAATAAATCAAAAAGTAATGCCATCAGCATGTTATTTATAGATTTGGAGGTAACCACAGAAGAAGTAAATAAGAAACAGTTCATAATGTTTGGGGAGGAGGACAGGGAATAGATCAGTCACTTCTCACTGTGTCTTTTTGTAGTAATGAGTTTTTAACAACCATGTGAATAAATAATTTAATAAAGGCTCCTTTCAGTCCCCTTTTGTTTCACTCCACGTAGTTTACTTGGCTTTCTAGGACTTTTTTTCTTAACATGGTTAGGCCCAGTATCTGTCCCAAACCTAAAAATTAACTCCATTTTCCCCTATACTCCCCATCTCTCCATGTTTTATAAACCCCTCTTGTGCACACACACACAAGCCGTATACACATCAGCCTTCTGAATGCAGTTACATGTCTTTCTCTGTAAATTTCATGTCCCTTATATCTCAGTGCCTTTTTCTCAAACTGTTTCTTTGGCCTGAAATGGCTTCAGCAAATTTTTTTCTTATTCAGCCTTCAAGTCCCAAGATAAATTCTGCCTCTTCTATGAGATGTCTGCTTTCCAGAAACATGAAATATTATGCTTTATTCTGCATTCTCCTAACACTACACTCCAGTCTGATACTTCTTGCTCTTCAGTGACTCAGACCTAGTTGTGCATTATTGGCCCCTTCTTTTCCTGTTTAGTTATAAGTTGAAGAATTGGTATCTTTATACCTAATGTGATATGTTGCTCATAGTAATTAACATAGTTGACACCCACTATAACTATAATTGGCTTTTGTTGCTATTGTTGATTCAGAAAGCATCTAAAGTTATAAAATGAAATGCTACAACACATTTAAGTAAACATCAACTGTATTTTTAGCAGGATGACTTTTAATACTATTCTGCTTCTTAGCAAAACATTGAATTAAATAATATTTTGTTACAATTTTAGTGGCTCTTTCCTAAATCTCAATTACGTATATATTGTCTCAGGTTATGAGGAATAAAAACTCTAATAAACTAATACCCGTAAATATGTTACTAATGTAGTTATTTTTATGAGTGTTTCTATTGTACAAAGTAGCCTAGAGCATGGCCTGTGTGGCTCAGTGGTTGAGAGTCCACCTATGAACCAGGACATTGCTAGTTCAATTCCTGGTCAGGACAGACACCTATCTGGGTGGAGAGCTCAATCCCCAGTATGGAGTATTCAGGATGGAGCCGATCAATGATTCTCTCACATCATTGATATTTCTATCTCTCCCTCTCTGCTATATATAGCAGCTTAGAGAGAGAAATGCCTTACTCCAGAGAGTGATTTGCTGCTAGGAAAATGCTAGGCCCTGAGCTGTTGTTTTGAGATGAAAGAGGGTTTCTGTGGCCTCTCAGATTATGCCATGTCACTCTTATGCCATAGGGAATATGGATTCAGATGAATTTCAAAACATTAAGATGTGCCTTAGCATATTTAAACACCTATATTTGATATCACAAAGTGTGTATTGAGTATTAACTGCTGGTCTTTGCTTATATTTTCATTTCCTGCAGTTTTTCCACATGTTCTTACTTCACCGCTTTTTTTTGTTTGTTTGTTTGTTTCAGTGGCTCTCTAACCCTGTTTTTTTCTCTGCATCCACTTAAAAGAGCACTCTCATTTTATTTTTCCTTTACCACAGGAAATTCCACAATAAGACAGTCTCGATACAGGATTATCAACCAGGAAGCAGCTAATGGAGGTCAAGAATGTCCAGACACCTTATTTGAAGAGCGAGAGTGTGAAGATGTTTCATTGTGCCCTATATATCGGTAATTAGTTACCTTTTGGAATAATCATTAAACTTCAACATAAATTATGACATTTTCTTTTATGTAATATACTAGAAATTCATGCACAGCTAGGGTCCCTAGGCCTGGCTGGCAATCAGGGCCCATCAGGGCCTTCCTGCTGCCAACCAAGGCCTTCCTTAGTTCCGCACCACCTCCTGGTGGTCAGCGCATGTCATAGCAAGCGATTGAACTCCTTGTCTCCCAGTTGAACTCCTGAGACAATTTGCATATTAGGCTCTTATATATGTATAGATGGTTGTTTAGTGAGAGATAAGATAAGGTAATGTTGTTTATCTTCAAATACCTGTATTTTCCCCCCTTCCTATCTGGGATACATTTTGAGGGATAAAGAATATGAAAGTCTAATTTATAGAAAAAAGAAACAGACATATTTTGATAGTAAGTGAGCTTCTGGAGTTTTGCCACTCAAGAAATCTTTTCAGGATCAGGATTCAAGGAGATTCAGGGTGAGGTCCTTACCTAAACCACAGACTCATGCACACAAACACACACACACATAGCACACATACACACACACAGGCACCTATAGTTGCTCATAGTAATTAACATAGTTGACACCCACTATAACTATAATTGGCTTTTGTTGCTATTGTTGATTCAGAAAGCATCTAAAGTTATAAAATGAAATGCTACAACACATTTAAGTAAACATCAACTGTACCCATGCAAAGGTAACTACTTCATTCCATTATTCTCATCCTAAAGCCTTTTTTATCAAGAATCACAAACCAAATTTGTACTTATTTAATAAGTATATAAAACAAAAATTGTTTTGGTTCTCAATTTTAATTATATACATGTTTTAAGAAAAGATCTAGTTAGCAAAATTAATTTAACCTATGGATAAAATGTTAAAAAAGAAAAGAAAATGAGTAACTTTTTTTTTATTGCTTATAGTATTACAAAGGGTATTACATATGTGTCCCTTTTTTCCCCCCGGCCTTTACAATCCCCTGGCCTCCCCTACCCCCCTTATGTCCATTGGTTATGCTTATATGCATGCATACAAGTCCTTGGGTTGATCTAGAAAATGAGTAACTGTTAAACTATAAATGCTCCTTCTGGTAAGTTGGTGGTTATTTATAAAAAACAATACCTGAGACTTGTGTGTCTAGACATAAACTTACCCTCTTTCAACATTGGATTGAAACATTGCTTTAAAGGATATCTGCATTAAATTCACTGTTGGATTTTACTGGCTTGTGAAGAAATCCCATGATCTTAAAAGGCATTTGTTTATCATCACACTTAAAATTGCCTTTACTGGAAATGTCTAGTATCTCCCTGGATTATTTGAGAAGCTACATCTTAAAGCTATGAAATTTAAGAGCTAATTCATTCATACAAATGCAAGTTATTTTTCTTCTTTTAAGACGATGCCTTACATTAAATAAATTTTAGTGTCTTATTGAAGAAATCTAAATTACTATTGATTTTATCATCCCTGTACTCCCATTGTTGATGACCAGTTTGGGAAGGATGTAGACAAACACTGGGAACATGCCCAGACTACTAGTTTTTCCTCACCAACCACAGGACCATTGTGGAAGCACTGTCAATGTCCACCCTTTTGTGCCATGTATATAAATATTGAAACTTCTGAGCCAGCGTTTTAACCATTGCTGGGGGATAGCAGCCAATTTAAAAAATTAGCCAAATCAAATATTATTACACATTTTTATGAACCCAGGGCTATTATAATCAGAGAAAATCCTAGGAACTATCAGTGGGCTCTTCCCTTCTATTGTCCACTCTCCTGACTCTCTTGCTGCACTTCAATTTAGCTACTCATGTTTGAACTAGTTTCCATCATTGACCCCCTGCCATTTCCTCAGAAATCAGTTTCACTGTGTGTGGATTGGATCAATGTATCATTTCTCCTGGTGTGTGTGGTTTAATATATGTTCCAGTTATCAGCATGAGTTTCTGCTCCTTAGTAAAGCATCCATGAGTTTTGAGTAATTTGGTTCAATTTAGTTTTTGCTTTCTCCATCATTGGTATGTTAGGGAAGGAAGTGACTGTAGACCTTTATCATTATCTCATGATTATTCTTTTTGACTCCATTAAAGTGACACAGTAACACATTTACCAATTAAAACAGAAACAAAATGTCCACAGAAATATTTCTGTGAATTTGAGCATTCCTCCAATATGTTAGGTTAGTACGGGAATGAGAAGGCAGCATGGGAGGGGATCCTTATATGGAATTGGCCAGGGGTCCATGGTTGAGCATCCAGGGATGTAGGATTGAAAACTGGCCTGCCCTGACTTGTGCAGTCTGGGACATATCACTTACCCTGAGCTCAGGTTCATTATCCCAGTACTGAAGGTTTCACAAGAGAGCCGTGAAAAGTCATTCCTTCTACTTCAGTCTCTGCAGAACACCAAACTAGATTCAATTCCTTGGTCTCATTTTGGTGTAGAAAGCCCATGTAAATTTAAGAGATCTGAATAGATGACATATCCTAGTTGAAAAGTCAGACTGAAAAACGCTTACTGTATCGCTTTCTGTGTTTTGGAGTTATACTGAATGAGTCTATGCATATACAAAGAAAATTTAGAACTACTTAAAATCAATAGGTGATTTATTTAAAAAGGTCAGGTTTTGCTACTTATCTGTTTCCTGATTTCTCTCCAGTTCTTCCCAATATGGAGGCCACTTGAATAAAGTCAATGATATATTTGTTTCACTTTTATATTTTAACATACTGGGCTTGATTTTGCAGGATGGTCTGTAGCACCCCCCCTTTGTCCCCCCACCCCCCGGTTAAGACCATCTCTGCCTCACTTCCAATTGTCCCAGAGACCCACTTAATCTAAAATAAAGTGAGAGGAGCTTGTGATTACTGATATTAATGGCTGGCTGTGCTAGGTGGTCTTCAAATACTAAATCAAGCTATGTTCACATAACTAAGAGAGACGTTAAAGTGACTTTTCCTGAGCAAAGAAAGTCTTCCTTCGCTAAGGCTTTTTTTATTGTGGTAAAAAACACATAATGTTTACTATCATAACCATTTTTAAATGTACATTATAGTAGTGTTAATTTTATGCAATTGTTTTGCAAGAAATCTCTAGAACGTTTTCATCTTGCAAGGCTGGGCACTGATATTTTACTCCCTGTTTTTATTTTACTCTTTGAATTAACATCTCTTGTTGGTGGTATTGGCTGATATGGGAAAAGTGTAAGAATGTACTAAGCAAAGGAGCAGAAGCTGTAGTTTCACTTAAGGTCTGGGTTTTATGGAACATTCTGAAGAGACAGGCTTACGGACACAAGGCCCAGTCGGTCATGTGGGTCATGAAAGTAGAAAGCTTTGTTGATCTGAGGAAAGAAAAACAGGGAAAAGCCAGACAGTGTCCTTAGAGACTATTTCCTCACAGGAATAGAAATATTCGTAATTCATCAGAAGCAGATCAATTCCTCTTGGAATGAACTATCACATAAATAGGTACCGGTGCCTCCCCCACCTCACTTTTACTCTACAACCTATTGAGTTGTTTGAGTTACTTCAAAGTCCTAGGAAACACATTTCTAAAATATTGAACTAGAAGATCAAGTGAAAAGGTGTGCGCGTGGCACTTTCAGCTGTTCGAAACCTGATTCTCGAATGCTCTAATGGGACATAAGAACTATCTTTCTCTCCTTTTTCTAACAATTCTAAGTTCATAAAGTGGTTAGCACTCTAGACTTGATCTTTGCTTCTAATGCTTTTATGGCCACTTTGCTATATGAACTAAGGTTTATGTGCAAAATGCTCACATTTTAAAAAATGGAATCAAGGCATTAACCGTGAACCTGAGTCAGAGTGGATCATTATCTCAAATGCATGCCAGGGCTCCGTTTTATGGCATTGGGTTCAAATCCATTTTTATTGAATTACTATCTTTATGCTTTTGGATTTCCCACTTATCCATTTCAAGTATTTCCTTTGTGTGTTTGTCATGGTGAAATTTCTAGTTTCCTGTTCTTTGTAATCACAGGTGGAAGGCACAGAAATGGAGCCCCTGTATCTTAGTGCCGGAGTCTGTCAGGCAGGGAATAATGAGCACCAGCGAAGCCTGTGGGAAAGGGGTGCAAACAAGAGGTAAGAGGATTTTCAAACAGTTTGCCATTGGAATGTGACTTACAATCATGTTACTCTTGTAAACTGTTGACTATGCTTATATTGGAGTAAGTCGAGGTATTATTAGGTTGCCTTATTTGTAAGTGTTTGAGTTTAAGTTTGGTATCAGTTAATGCTGATATCATACTATATTTTAACCATAACCAGCTAGTGTATCTAAGGTCTAATGCAATGTAAGCAAATATGTATTCTAAGTCATCAACATACCCCAATGCTGATCTTCCAAATGCATGTTGGATATTAGCCAAGGAATGAAGGATATGTCAAGATTAGGCTCAATAATATGCATTGTATTTCTTAGGTGCTAACTAAATATTTGTTGAATGAATGAAAGGATAACTGAATTAATTGACTAATCTTAATAATCATGACTTAAACTATATATATATATACGTAATGAATTTCTAGAAGACTTTATGAATAGGTTTCTGGATCTGAGTAAAATGTCTGGAAGGGTGGCATATTGAAATCTATGAAAACTGAGAGAGTCATCAGACTGCTCTCTTTTCTGTTTCATGTATAAGCAGGTGCTAGTAATACGAGTTTGGATAAGAAGTGCTTTAATCTTGAAATCTGAAGACTGTTGCTCAAGGGATGTGTGTAGCAAAATCAGAACTTGTGGGACCAACTGCATTACACTAGTTTCATTTATCTTCTAAAAGGCATTTTTAGAATTTAGTTTCTCTTCCTATTTCATGGATTATTGTATTAGTCAGGATCAGTCATCCCAGCCAGCACAAAAAATATATTCAGAGTCAGGAAGAGCCCAGCACGGCCAGGTAGCAGTCTTAAATTCCAGTTCAGTGGAATCATTGTTGTATTTCCTGGTGGAACCCTTCCTCTCTTTGGAATTAATACCTGCAGGCCAGCAGAGCTTAGGATTCTGGGGACAGGATGCAAAATTTTTACTAGTGGGTCACAAGGGGTAAGAGTGAGTTTTGTGTGTTACAACATAGCATTGAGTCAGCTGGCCCAGCTCCTGGTGACTCTATATGTCCACAATGTCCTGTCCTCAACAGCCCTGCTCAGCTCCTGTAAATTCATGCTTATGGCTTTTTTATAAAGTCTGTTTTCTCATATTTGGTCTTCCTCGTTTCCTGCTGCCTTCTGTTTTCCCAGTATTACTGTCTTTCCAAAGAACCCTGCATTCTTGTAATGTGCCTGACGTATGACAGCTTCTGTTTTGTCATATATTTTTTTTTTTGCCTCCAGCAATGTTTCAGGCTTAGTTTGCTCTAGGACCCGCTTGTTTATCTTTCTGGCAATCCAGGGTATCTATAGAGCCCTCTTGCAATACCATATTTCAGATGATTTTTTTTTTCTATCAGCCTTCTTCACCATCTAACTTTTGCATCTGTACAAAATAATTTGGAATATGAGGAGGTGGATGATCTTAGTTTTGGTCCCTAATGACACATCTTTTGTGAAATGATTTTTCCTAGTTCTTCTATTGCTGTCCTTTGATAGCTGTTGGAGAAACAATATTATTGGATGTCAAATCAGAGCATGTATAGCCTCCTGTCAAACCTTGTCCCAGCTCTGCAAGGATTGCCACCTAACTGATGCCATTACTGAGTCTTTCCACTATTCTATCAAGCGAGTTGCTTCAGGACAGTATATATCATGATACAACCAGTAAATTCCATGATCATGGGCCCTTTGCCACATTTAATTTGGTCAGAAGCAATGCTGTGTGGAATATCATGACTATGGATAAGTCATTCTGTAAGTCCACAGATGGTAGTTTTAGTGGAAGCATTGCATGCAAGGAAAGCAAATTCATATCCAGAATAAGTATCTATTCCAGTAAGAACAAAACACTCCCCCTTCTATGACGGAAGTGGTCCAAAATGATCAACCTGCCACTATGTTAGCTGACTGATCACTCTGGGGAATGGTGCCATAGTGGGAATCTGTTGGTCCCCACTGCTGGCAAATTGCATGCTCAGTGGTGAACATAGCCAGTTAGGCCTTGTTGAATGAAGTTCACGTTGCTGACCTCATATATAGGGTGTCCCAAAATTCACACAAGATTTGAATTTTTGCGTGAGCATTGGTTTATAATTAAAAATTGTAAATTTTTTATTGATTCATAAAGTATACAGTATAGGGTTATGTAAGGAATAGCATATGAGGTAAATGGCCTCCATGGCTTTGCTGGCACATACGTACTCTTTTGTTGAAATTTTCCATGACTGTTTTGCATAAATGTGGGT